TACATAGTACAAGTATCCGTTTACGTAATTAAATTGCAGTGCTGTATCGCTGCTACACTATGTAGGTATAGGTAATATAAGTATTAAAATAAAACTGGTCAAACATAACAATAAATTATTCCAATTGTTTCTCTCTTAGTCAAAAATGTGTAACGCAAGATTTTCATCTGTGCTTCAAAGTGTTCTTAAATAAAATAAAAGAGCATGGTGAGTTTTTATATTGTATCTTTTTTCATGTTTTCAAGAAAATGACGAAACTTACCTATCTTACAAAATATCTGATGCCGGAGACAGAAGTTTTCGAATTTCCTCAATATGTTTCGCTGTCATTTTTCTTTTAGGTCTTACTTACATCAGTTCAGTGCTCTTATGCTGAACTTACGACCCTTTAAAAATAACATTGTTATCGTTATACATACCACAAATAATAATAGTTCTTCCCCTAATATACATGTAACGTGGCAATCCCGATCTTCGTTATACTCTCTCTCTCTCTATTTGATACCTACTCTGAAGTTAACCTCTAAACGAATAAGACAATAGAAAAGTTAACACATTTAATTAAACGATAAATTGAACAAATACGCCGACACATTGTACAGGTTTCGTATCTACCATCGTAAGAACCAGATTTCAACACTTCTTAATAAAAAGGTGTCGTGGAAACGAAATCGAAGGAGACGTAAACTGTCTTACAAATCAGGTGGGCCTATTCTTGGTCTTTGTCGTGTTTTCAATTTCACTCGTAGTACGCCTATTGATTTGTACTGATTTACATTTTACCTTACATTCCGTATACATATCGACCATCGGAAATTACTTGCCTTCACCTTTCCGCGAAATAAGCAGGTTCACCTCAAACCATAACCGTAAAGGTACAGATAACTTACGTAATAACTAATATAAATGTAAATGTTTGCATTTGTGACTAGTGGAACTTTTAACCCATTTGGGCCCGCCGTCCCCATATGGGGACAGGTTTTCTTTTACCCGCTGGTTATTAATTATTTTAGCTATCTTCACATTTCATGGGTATTTATAATGAGGAGTAGTGTACTTTTCTAAAATTATTAGAACTTTTGAGAAATTGCTACAAAAAAGGGGTCATATTGTCAATTTTATCAAGAGGAAGTGAAACGGGAATTATTATTGAAAGCAGAGGCGTTTTGTAGTACGTTATTATGAAGATTTATAAAACTTTTTTGTGATTATTGCTTGCTTATAGTGTCAATTAAAACAATATTGAAGAATATCCTTATACTTTCAATTCCGCTTAGGGGAAAGTTAGAAAAAATGATGGTGTCCCCGTATGGGGACAATGGGCACATCTGTAGTATATTTTTAAAACATTTATACCTGATTTGTATTTTGTTTTCCAATTTATAAAGGTCACCTATAGGCTAAACTTAGTTATAGCTAATACTTGGTGACAACAGACGCTAATTTACGAAGAGCATCACCAATTCCCACATATCTTTACGCGTTCATATTCTAAAATCTGATGGGCATCAAGACCGAAGATGCAAAAGTCCACCTACAGTACCAGGCGTCGCATCCGATATCAGAATTCAGTAGTAGGGGGCATTTCCTCCAGCTGTATTCTGGTGTCGGCACAGCGAAGTCCACCCAGAGGATAGAGTAGCATTATGCCCTGTATACGTTGACCACCGCCGTGTCTTCATGGAAGTGATCGACGACGATAATCTTTCACGTCCAGCTTAGGTTCTGGCTGTGGTGCGGAGCGAAGGGAACTGGAAAACATCTCTTTCTGCGAAGCAGTCATAGTAACAAGAACAGATCGCCGCCCAGAACCAGACCTGTACCTGTAAGGTGCGTGGCGTTACGCGCGTGCTTCAAAGTGCAGATTAGACCGCCTTAGATCGAGATAGTCCAGTGGGACAGATGCCCGACTACTATGAATAACCTAGTGGGTCACCGGGGCTTCGGCTTGAAGCAGAATTAGGAACGTGTTGGTTTTTAGCCAGTAAGAGTCCCCCAGGCGGAAAACGCAATGCATGATTTTTACCCTAAAAAAAAATATAGGCGCGTCATATCAAATTGATTTAGACATTTTCCGCAGAGATTTAGTTAATATCTGTTACGATACGCAGTTCGTCATAAAAAAACTGTGATATCAATGCAAATAATGCGTTAGAACCTTATGTGTCGAAAACAGTTACTACTTCGAAAAGTACTACACATGAGACCATTGTCCCCAATCAAGGACGGCATTTTTTTTAATACTTCTAAAAATATTTTTTGAATTTTTTTTGCTGATATTAGTTTGTGGGCGTCATATCATTGAGTTAATAAAGTTTTTTTTATTAAATTATGTGTAGTTTGCATTTGGTCCCAAATGGGTTAATGATGGGCCTAGGTACAATCAAGAATGTTTCAATCTACTTATCTGTCTAATAATGGATAATAATAATAGTTAGTATCTAAATAATTTTATCGATCACTTGCAAACTATCTATATTACATACGTGTACCTACATAGCCTATACGTATACAACCATATAATCTCTATACAACACCAATTAATTCGTTGTTAAAATATCATTAGGTAGTGTAAACAGGAATGAAGTTAAAATACATTTATAAACACGTAACCATTATTTGCGCAATTAAAATAATATACCCGTTTTACGTATTTAATCGTTAACTAATTGCTGGAGGTTAAAACTTATGTTTTTGCAATGTTCGCCGCAAATAGGTCGCAGACGTAACGTCGCCAGTTTTAGCTGTTCTTACAGTTATTGCTAACAAACTCATGAAACGGCAAGACGTGAAGTTCTTAACAAATGTACACAAGAAAAATTTAGCAAAATGATTCTGATAAGTGATTAAAAGTTCACGAAGATTTGTTATCTATGAAAGCAAAACTTAGAATGAGGACACAAGTAGAAAGTTAATAAAATATCATAAAAAATATACAAGCAAAGGTTTCTAGTAACTGTTATTTAAGTTGGGCGCCCATACGGTTGAAGTAACAAGCAGCTTCAAGGGGCGCCCGCGGCTTAGGTTCTGTAAGTAACGACATATGTAACCGTTCAAATAAATGATCTTCGAATTCTACTCTGGCTTCGAAATAACTGTTCTCTTAGAAAAATGTAGTTCTTATTTTTTGAAAACATCACCGCTGCCTCCGGCTGTTCTTAATTATCCGGTTCTCTGAATAACGAATGGAAACATTTTGCCGCCTCGGTGTGTTAATATAATACAATAGACATTTTCTTCTCATTTAATAAGAAGAATTTGCACCGGGTCATATTTTTCCCGCTAAAACATAGACACCTCTCACACTGTCAATTCTAAGATAAATAAAAAGCTACCTAAGTGCAATTTTAAGTACTTTATAATTGTTGCAATCCGTAAAACTGGTATAGAAACCAGTTCTTTACTTTATTTACATAAAAACATCTAATTATTATAAAGGCGTATGCCAATATCAATTAAAACATACTCTTTTAAATTGAAAATATACTCATAAGAACCAAGTTAATGAAACGTAATATTGATACGAGAATGCTTGTATTTGAAATTATGACCCGCGTTTTTCTACTTTCATTACGGAGTAAAACAGTAGCAACAATGTAATAAAACGAAGTGCACTGAAATAATCTAATTTAGCTTGTGAACAATATGCCTTCAACAGACAAGTAGAAATGCAATAAGTATTAATAAACGAGACCGTATCAGTCTATTTAAGTCCCAGTAGGAGAAACTGATCCGATTGTTTTTCTATACTGTCTTCAGTGTCTATTGGGAATTTGAAAACTACGTCATCCGATATACTTAGCATTGCTATTTACCTGACTGTACCAACCCATTATTATATTCTTTAAATAAAAGTTCCTACTGCGTCACATAGGCAAAGTTCGTAATTTTAAAATACTTCACATTATTTTTATACGACTACTCCTACTCATGAACACGCTCGACACAAAAAGCGTTGGCGAAAAGCGACGTATTTTCTTTATAAAGAAAATGTAGTAAAGTAAAAACTATTAACATTAAGCTAATAATTTATTTAACGTCCGTGCGTTACTGAATGTAGAGAATATAAAGTATGGAATACAAAGCAGTAATGTTTTAATTCAGATAAAATAATAATTAACTCTCTAAAGGCATTATTCTGTGCACTGTGTGCTGTGGCTGTCTGACCACAATAATATTATGACGTCTTCTCTTTATCCTTCTCTGTTTCGCTGGCAGCTCTAATTATGCAATGGCAAGAACCTTTGCAATAATTTCATTTCAAATATTAAATTATTTGTTTAAACTATTACCTGCACACAAAGTTAATTATGAGCTTGTCAAAGCTTTTTCTTCACAAAGGGAATGTATAAAACAATGGGAGGTATTGAGTCCTTTATTCGATTCGACCGAGTATCCTGCGTTTATCTGTCGTCGCACACTCGCATGTGAAGCATGCCGATAGTGGTATGGGAAACAATGGCATTTGTGCCATATTGTGATAGAAGTATGCCACTCGAAAATGCCGCTAAAAGCCTGCTTGCGACCTGCATCGCGAACATACGTACCATTGTTAACAAGGCGACTTCGCGAATACTGCATTGCGATTTCGTAACAATAAGCTTCACTCTAACAATCAAAGTACCTAGTTGTTATCGTTGAGCGAATTCAATTTGTTGTAAGTTACATTACTGATAAATGATGCGTCAATTATTATTAAGCCAACCCATTATTTTATATAACAACAACATTTAGTACCATCATCAAACTCTCCAATTAACAATAAACATGTTATTGAAAGAAAATCAATAATTAAGCTTAATTAATTAACTTTTTCTAATTGTGAACTTTATAAACATATAAGTACTGTTCTTCCATACAGTTTAATTTGATTTAACTACAACACTATTCGACGCAAATAACACTAGCAAACAGCATGTAATGCAAAGTTGCAAAGCTCAATTAAATTAAGGACTTGTGTGACTTTGATTTAAAGTCTAATTTGTTTTTTGTGTCCACAGATGTTTGCTTCCAACCGTTCTTCAACTTTGTGGACATGAGGGCGCTCTTAGAAAACTTCTGTGTGTACCACGTGAATGCGCCGGGACAAGAGGACGGGGCTCCGAGCCTACCTGAAGAGTGAGTACTTCACCTTAACCTTCATCTCCTGTTATAAAACATTTAATTTAAATGATGAAATAAAACCATTCCGTTTTATAAAAAGAGATGTTACGTTGTCTCTTTATGTACGCGTTTAGTACGCACATTTCAGATGGAAAGCTTATGTAACTTTAAATAAATCGGCGTCATTGTAAAGACCCAGTAGACAGCTTCTACCGTAGTTAACTTTATTGATGCCAGTCTGGCGCGATTAAGTTGCCCAACCCACAATACAGGGATCGATACGCCTGTAAAGTTGAGTGTCACTCACAAAACATTAAAATCTCACTTTGATAATGACTTTGTAACCCCTTTCACTCAAAAATTTTTGTGTTTCTTATTACTGTGTGAGTATTATAGAATGCGGTACAAATATGAAATTAATTTTAAAATTATTAATCTCAACCCTATTATTATTATTGGTTACTCCCAGCTGTACTTTTATTTTTATCGTAAAATAAATACTTCACACAGCTGAATGCTAAATATTAAACAGCCAGGTTTCAGTTAATGAAACGACAATGACAAGAATCGATACAAAAAGTTGTGAGCATTCTAGCTGGTTCGCATTAATTCTATTGCGTTGCCGCGGTTTACCCGACATCGGAATGTGCTACATATTGCAGGCTGCTTGTAATACACATAATATTACCATTCCTTATTTACAGGATTGTCTTCTCCCAAGACAATGTGAAAGAAATATGTTAACAAATAGGTAATGTAGTAATTTGATTTCAAACATCCCACCTAACTCATTACCGCCAAATAATTTTAAAACTATCAACATGGTTAGTAGAGTGGGTACGTATAAATTCAGGGAGGTAATGAAGCAGCAAAAGTCCACTCACATGTAAAGAGTTGCAATTTTCCCTTCCCTATTATTATCGACTGTGCAGTTTAATTGAATGACTTCAACCTCTGACGCAGATTTCCATGTTTATTCGAAATCGCATTTTGTATTTACTTCATTCGTTTTAACGAACCTTTCGTGTGATTGATGATCATTTGCTTTCAAGCCTTTATTCAAAAACAGTATTCAATAGTAATTTAACAGACAGGTTTCGTATTAATATTTACATGAAATTCATCAAGACAAATCTTACTGTGATTCGTCTTACTGATGGATCTACAACGCAAAATAAAATTTAATTCAATTCCGCAACGTGTAATGTATTCAATTTATTATATGAGGGAGATGTTATGAGTCGTGACAGTAACGGCAATGAGTAACACTCGAGCACAACTCACTTAGCACGTCCGACATGTATTTACTAATGCAATTTAAACTACGTTCCTTCGAGATGCAAGCGTTAACTTGTCAGAAGTATATTTGATTTGATTACCTATTCTAGTTGCAGCCGTGCGTCGCCACCATCGCTTAAAATAGTTTATGAAAGTTTGGTGTTTGCACCAAAGTTCTTAGACCATTTTAAGTGGTAATATCACGATCCCGCGAGGAGCTGAGGACGTGCCTTCATCAAACGAGGCCATTTGCAGATATAATTTGCGCTATATCTTTTCCCGACGCCCGTTCGTATCGGAAGTATTCTTACCACATTTAATATTTACGTATGATTTTTATAACCACTTGCCAATAAAATGGAAATGAAAAAATCCGTTATCAAATAAAACTCATATCCGCCATCAAGTTCTTATTTGCTCTTGGATTCAGTACAAAAATTGGAACTGTATGGAGAGTTTGCACACAAATGTTACCAGAAAAATTGGGGCATCCGTAGCGTTTACATTAATAGATTGCAAGATAGTGATTGAACATGTAAAACAAACTGTTTCTGCCAACTGCATACCTTATTGACATTCTGATTTCTCATTCATTAGTGCTCATTCACTACTTTTACTTTGATTTTCAAATAATAATTAATTTCCTAACTTTGCAATGATATTATTGAATCTAGTTGCAAAGTTGTGTAGTGACAAAACACATTAAACGGATTAAATGCGAATACTTTTCCTTCCTGCCCCTTATCTTTTCTCAAGCTACTTGCAGTCGGTACTATAAAATAAAAGCTTTTAAATCTATTAAACTTAAAGCATAAACTACTCTGGCAACAAGGAAAAAAAATATTCATTACAATTGTTAGAAGCTTATCCGTTTATTCTTCGCTCAAACAATGGCCCGTCTAGTCAAACAGTATAAGGTTTCTAAAATACCGAGCCCGGCTTGTGTTGCAAGGAAGATACAAACGATACGACACTTTGTACAAGAAAATAAACCATATCGCTGCACTTTAAGATAAAATAATACGGATAATGTATTAGAAATATCCGTTCTATGCTTGTAGTATTGAAATATCGGCCGTGACTGACTGCGCGTGGTCAGTTTGCCTCTAACAGTTTCGTGTTGATATCCATCACCAGTCACTACTTAATGATTAATGAACTGAACCAAACTCCCAAACTATTTGGGTGTAGCCGATACTAAAATTACGTAACTATCTCTAATTATTCACGTCGGATACATTTTAGTTCTCCTAACTGCTGACTGTATTCACTTCATCTTTAAATTGACAATGGGAAAAGTTGATGTACTCTTTATACGAACCCTCGGGGTGAAATATTAAGTTGCCTTATATCCTTTAAGAGACCAGAGTAGATGTGAAATACTGACTGATTAACTTTACCAAAAATGTACTTCTTCTAAGTTTACTTTACTTCATAATTGGCTAAAATAATAGCCAATTATTCAAATAAAAATAAACCTTTACATTCATAGTCGCGTATAGTGGTTGACGACAAGATAGTTTAATGTTATTATTATGAGCATGAATAAACATCATATTACCTACTCAGCCATGTACTCACATCGCATCCCTTACTTATACTACACTCACAATACATTCAAATATCATCAATCACTCTCACTACTTACATGGTATAAAAATATTCCGATTTCTGAGAATTTATTGTGACATTTCATATTTTGTTGTCTACCTAAATTATGTATAAAACTGAACATTACTGAAATTTGTACACAAATCATTTGTTCATATTACAAGTACTTCCTTTACAAGCATTTATATTTAAATAACTTCTGCCCGCTTCTCCTGTTCCCGTAGGATGTTTTTTGCTTGTCATAAGAACTTTCTCCTGGCAACAACAAACACAACAAAAAAAAGTGAAATCGGTCCAGCCGCTCACGCGTGATGGTGTGACCAAGGGACATAGGGATCCATTTTTATATACATATATCTATATATATAAAAGAAAGTCGTGTTAGTTACACTATTTATAACTCAAGAATGGCTAAATCGATTTGGATGAAAATTGGTGGGGAGGTCCCTTAGAACCAGGAGACGGACATAGGATACTTTTTACCCACTTCTTTTTTTTACTTTTTAACGAAAATCAAGAGCGGGAACGGAAATTATCGGGATTGCGCGTACGAATTCGCGGGCAGAAGCTAGTAGAATATAGATGTCAGAATTTAAAATGCATACAGTCATAATTTTCGACTTTGAATCGTCTAAATTGAAACGATAAGAGGTGAAAATGAAATGCGACTTAAAAACAGGTAAAACGGAATAGGTTAAGTTTCACCCTGTGGCAGCGGCAACGATCTTAAGGGTATTTTTTTTATTTGGCTAGCAATGAAGCCGTGCAATGGCCTGGCGAACTGCTCGCGCTGCTATAATGAGCGTCGTGGAACGCAATAACTTTAAATACCTCGAGAATCCACGGCATTCTTCAGCCTTGGCACCCTATTGTAGAAAGGGCCTCGCATCCCCAGTGGAAAATGCTCAATGAGAACCTGTCTAGCGCTTGTCTCGTTTGCCGTATAGAGGAATGTTCATCTCAGAGTTATGCACCCACCAAGCAACGGTCGGTATTGAAACCGAAGGTTCTAAAATATTTTCAAAGTTATTACTAAAAAAATGCTTTGCTCTATGATTTTCGCTTGCATCGTGGTTGCGTTTACAAACATACAATATCACATACACATGACACCCGAACACGAAGCAATGATTTGAGGATCACGCCGAATAGCTCCATGCGAACCCGCTACACGTTGAGCGGCAGCCGGTTGCCCTGCCACCGCGCCAACTGTGCAATAAATTGCAGTGAATTGAAAAAATAAATGTAATATTTATGCAAACCGACATTATTTTTAAAATTATTGTTAAAGTAACTGTGCTAAAGTAAAAAATCCCTATCCTACACGTGCAACTGTAAAACTCGGTTATATTTTAATTACTGAATTTATGCAAACACTATTCATAAGCCACCGCGCAACGAAAGCCGTGACCTTTACAAGTGGTCTCATAGTTGACACACTGTAAGCATTTTCTGCGGTGTGAGTTTCATTTTCGTTATTTACTGGCTTATTTTTTAAAGTTGCAAGTTAAAAATAGACGAAAATAAAAGACTTTTTCGACAAATTGCCTCGGGCTGTCGTCTGATCGCTAGAGGGGCTCGACGCTGCGTAAAATGCAAACATTTTGCCCGCCACATCGAGGACGATGCCGCCATACAAACACGATATATGCATGTAAACAGATTAGATATTTTGATACAATCATTGACAGCACTAGTAGTCTCTGGGATGGTTTTAAGTGCTTTATTTGTAACTGCAATCATAGAACTGCCGTTCAGATTTTTTTTCCATTTATACTAACAATTCATTGAACTTTGTTTGACATAATTGTTATTTACACAATCAGATACACCAATTTAACGACTTCAAAAACCCACCTTGAGACTCAAACTGTACTTTAAAAACCTGATTTGTAATGAAAGTGTACAATATAAAAAACTAAAAACTGTAAACAAGTGTGCGTTAATGTAATTTCAACATTTTATCTCAACTGCTGCAGATAAAACAAACTAACCTGGCTAGTTGTTGGTTCATCTTCTATTTGAATTAGTATCTTAATTAAACTTTAATAAAAGTTATTATGCAAGTTTCATTTCACTACACACGCTTGCAAGTCTTCACCTCTTTCAGTGTGAAAATGAGCCAC